AGAACCAAATATCAACAGTACAACAATTGACATTTCTTTGGAGAGCCAATTTTTTTAAACTTACACTTCTCCTAATGCCACTTCTTCAAAATAGACTCGCCCAGGCCGTGGTATTTTGTGGAAGAGCCACACTCAAGGGGCCAAAGAGCCGCATGTGGCTCCCGAGACGCAATTTGCCTGACCACTACTCTAGGACAAGCAGGGTCACCGTCCAGCCAACCCTCCACCCTACCTGCCAGGGTTCCTACTGTGGCTTCCTAAGTCTTCAGTGGGGGGAGACGTCCTCTGAACACCCCCACCCAGTGTGTCACTCCCCCACTGAAAAGCCTTCCAGCAGATCAGGATTCCCAGGCCTTACAGTGACACACTATCCCACCGTGATCTTCAGTGCTCAGCTCCCTGGCCTGTCCCTCCCAGCCAAGCAGGATTCACAGTTCCCGCTCCCTCCCATGTTCCAACACGTTGCCAGGCCTTTGCACACGCCGGCTCCTCCACCAGGACCGCTTTCCTGTGCCCCCTCCAGCCTTCAGCGTCACTGGCCTGGCCAGGCCTCTCCTCTCTCCGACTCAGGCGTCTGCGTCCCTGGAGCCCCAGCACCGCCACCCCATCCATCCTGCAGCTGCTGGCACCTTAGCCGGCTGCCCCCCTCCACCGCTCCTCAAGAGCAGTCGTCAACGTTTGCTCATCTCTAGGGACCCAGAGCCAGCTCAGCCGCAGCGCAGTGCTGAATTACTAAGTGACCACAAGCGTTAACGGAGAAAAGAATTAAAAATGGTGTTTACGATGCGCTTATAAACAGTCTAAACTCAGCAGTTGCCTCTGGGATGTGAGTGGTAGAGACAAACCATGGAGGGGCAGGAGGGAACTTTCTGGAGAACAGATAATGTTCTGGATCTTAAGAGAGGCTTCAGTTATCCATTTATCAAAAACTCACTGATGGGTAGTAAGACTCAGCAATGTCACTGTATGTAAATTTTAAGGACAAAAAGCAATACACGGATAGTGAACTCTAGCTGAGGACTTGCACGATGAAGTGTGTGGAGGAAGAATACTACTGTATTTCAAAGGACGTTCCAGATATATAAAAAAAAAAAAAAAATAAGTTAATGGGTTGACTGGTTGGCTGGCTAGCTATGTGATAAAACAAGTTTAGCAAAATGTTAACGGCGGCTTCTCGTTGGTGGTTAGATGAGTTCTCTCTGTGCCAGTCTTTCAACTAAGTGTGAAACGTTCACGGTAGAATGAGCTGAGAGGCCCTTAGCTGAGGTGCACCAGTGCGTTCAACCGTGCCCCGGGAATCTTGTTAAATGAGACTAAGTCAGCCGGCTCAGGACGCCTGAAACGCTGCATTTCCAATGAGCACCTGGGACACCGATGCTGCTGGTCCGAGGACGCCGCTCTAAGTGAGGGTTTGCCACGTAACCTCGTTTGACCACGATGTCCCCAACTGCAAATGGAAACAGCCCCCTCCCCCCAACCCTAAGCAGCAGCCTCATAAAAGGAGCCAGCCAGATAAAAGGAGCGGAGGCCGGGGACAAGCAGCAGCCTGGTCAGCCATGCTCAGCCAGCCGCCGGGAGGACAGGAGCAGCCCTGGCAGGAGACCAGGGCCAGAATAGACAGAGTCTGAGTCACGCAAGGGGCCGGCCGGCGGGATGACTCAGCAAGGGCGCCGGGGGAAGCCGAGTGCTGCCAGCCCCCACCCAGGCCTCGCCTGGCCCTGGCCACCTCAGGGCTTGGCGGACTGCCCTCTCTGAGGACAGGCGACAGGCACTGCTGCTGGAAGCACAGGAGAGAGGCAGGGGCTGGCCTCTCCCATCCTTCAGGTCCGCTGGCACCAGCTCTAAGGGAGACAGGGAGACGGCACAGAAGGTACCTGACTGTGTCCCCCGTTCTCACCTCCGGGGCAGGGAGGAGGTGAGTATCAGGTGGAGCCTCAACCCCTTTCCAAGTGAGGGCACTGAGGTCCTGCAAGGAGGGGCGACAGCCCCAAAGAGAAAAATTCCCAATCTAAAGTCACGTGACTTGCTTCCTCGCCTTCATCTCAATTGTTTCCTTAGTCATTTGTCTTCCGTCTCCCCAAGAGACCAGAAGCTTCTTGAGGGCACTCGGCAGATGATACCTGCCATCCCACCAGCTATCTCACAGTGAGACCTGGCCACTCCCCCGTCTAGAGGTGGGTCTGTGTCCCCCCACCTTGCTGCCAGGCAGACATCTTGACTGCGTCAATATAGACGGTAGGACAGTGGGGTGAAGGCTTGGGGAGGGGAGAAAGTGGGGAGGAGGGGTCAATGGGGGAAGAAAAGGGGCATCTGTTTCCAACGATAACGATAAATGAAAAGAGAGAAAGAGGAGGGCCGCAGTGATACTGTGCGACTCTGGGACTGGATCATAAACGGTGATGCGGCTTCTGCCTGGCTCCCTCTTGGAACACGCACAGCTGCCACACTAGGGAGCCCCGGCCACTAGGGAGACCACAGGGAGCAGCCACGCCCGGCCAGAGCTCCGGCCGGGAGCCGAGTTCCCCACCAGACAAGGAAGAAAGGAAGTCAAACCTGAGCCCCTACAACCATCCGATGTGGAGAGTCCCCACATAACACCCACTATGCCAACCGGGCCAACACCCACGACTGAGACAGAACAAACCAGGGACAGGCCGGTGTGATGGGATAGCAGGTAACCAGTGGGCAGGAACCACACCCATTTCACACACCGCTGTGGGCCCAGAACTAACACACGGATAGCGCGTGCCTCATAAATGTCTGCGGAAGGGGTGACGGGACCTGGGGGGAGGACAGCCCAGGGTCTGTCCAGCACAGGCTGCCGCGGCCATCAGATTTAGGGACCAGTTAGGGCCTGGCAGCCCACTTCTCTGAACTCTGATTCCTAACACAGATAAACAATGACGGGGAAGAAGAGTCGGGGTGTCCCGGTGCTCACAGCCCAGCCTCCAGCTGCTGGAGCTGAACATGCAAGCGGGCCCAGGGTGGCCAGTTAGGCCGCTGGGAACACGGAACACAGCGGGAGAGGACGTCAGCTCTCTGAGCCGCCTCCCTGCACACGCCCAGGAAAACCTGCACTCGGGGGAACCCAAAGTCTGCGGCAACCTCGGCGGTGTGGCTTGTTTGGTGCGATTCTCAGCTCCACAGAGCAGCCTGACAATTAGTGTTTCCAGATGGGGATACTCCACTGCCATACATCCACATCCACATCCATCCGCATACACACAAACTCTGAGGACCAGCGGACACAATCGCCACAGACACCTGAGCCCTCCTTTGTGCCAGGCGTGGGCCAGGATCCAATGGGTGCTACAGACACGACTGCTGCCTTCGTGAACCTTAAACACATGAAAACACACATGTACATGAACATACTAACACATCCATACATGCAAACACTCCAACGTACATCTCATGCAAAACATGAACATAAAAATGAAAATATATATACCTATAAACAGATGGGCTGTGTGGATTTTATCCCAACACACACACACACATACACACACACACACACACACACACACACGAACATTTACATGCACACAAACGCGTTTGCATACACACACAATCTGTTTATTTCTCCAACTCAGTTCCTCCTTGAGCAGGGAAATCCGAGAACGGGGCCTTTCGGGACACAGGCTTCCGCCTCCTCCTCCTGTGCTGCCCCACACGTCCCTTCACTGCTGACAAAGGCAGCCTCAGCCTTTTGCTGAGGTTCAGGCCGCACCCAACAGATGTACTAGTGCAGCAGCTGAAAACTGCTCCTGCTGCAATTTCACCCGTTAGCAACCAACTAGCCACTAACAAAGCATCAAATAAATGCTCCAGAGGCTTCCTGTCCCTCTCAGAATAAAACCCACACAGCCTCCCTCTCCACTGCTACCCTCAGTCCCTGCCTGCCTGCTGCTCACGCCAGGCTGGCCTCTCCTGCTCTTTTCTCAGCATTCCACAGCAGCTCCTGCCACCACTCTGCCTGGGATCCTCTTTCTCCAAGGATTTGCTAGGTTGGCTCCTCCGCTTCTGTAGGTCTCCACTCCGGTGTGCTTTCCTCGGGCAGGCCTCCCATGATCACTCACCAAACACTGCACACTGCCCCCAACCATCATCTCCGTTTCCTTTCCCTGCTTTCTTCCTCTTAGCATGTACCACCACCTGCCAGACATGTGGGTCCTGGGTTACTGTGTGTCCCCATCCGTGACAAGCTAAGCCTCACGTGGACAAGATCTCTGCTTTATGCACTGCCACAGCCCTGTGCCCATTTCATGGCCTGGCCTTCAGCAATGGCTAGAATGGTGGAAGGAAGACAGGGAAGGAGAACAGAAAGAGGGGTGGGGGAAAACAAGGAGGAGGAGGGAAGGAGGAGAGGAAGGAAGAAGAGAGGCAAGGGTGACAAATTACTACGTTCCTTGAATTCCCCCAGCAGGAAGAGCGGCCCAGAGATTTCTTTCTGCACACACAGAATTTCCCTCAAACTGGCAGGACGGACCAAGGGTCTCAAACTCAAATCCCTCAGGGCCCAGGCACGTACCCAGATGAAAGAAGCAAGACTGTGCAATGCAATGGGGAGTGGTGGGGACTGCGGTAAACTAAGGCAACCCCCTCTGGCCAGCTGCTGCCATGTGCACTAATGGCCCTGACACCGCCTGAACTTCTCATTTTTCGTAGAAAGCTTGGACACAGAATTTATGTGGAACGTCCCGAGTTTTAAATGTTTGCTCACACATTCTAAAATCACTATGCCAACCAAATGAGGAAACCTCCAGGCCTGCAAGACACAGCAATTTCCACAAGGAATGAGATTCCCTGCTCAGGATCTCCCACCCCAGCCCGTGGCTCCGCTCTGCCATGTCAAGCGGGAGGACAACATAACCCATCTCCAGGCATTTGGGAAAGGTGGAATGAGATCCCAGGTGGAGGATCCTGGCTCAGAGCAAGTGTCTGATCAACACGAGCCACCTTGTGCAATGCTTCTCGAACACATCCGTGATCGCACTTACAGGGTCGTTGATGGTTTCTGAGAACAGGGGCGAGCGGTCTGAGAAGCAGGACAGCACGAGCTGAATCAGCACGAGGAAGGAGTAAATGTAGAACGTGACATCCCGAAACACGTCGACGTTGGCATCCTGAACGTGAGGGAAGGAGGAGGGAGGCCATCAGTTTCCGGAAGTAGCTTACCCATCCCTCCCCCTCATCCCCTGCAAATTAACACAAGAGAGGCCGTTCCATCGGAGGATGGCTCTATCACCCGGGAGGGCAGCCCCCTTGGTGGGAGGGGGCCCGGGCTCGGGAGTGAAGCAGACCCACATTCAGGTCCTAAGTCTACTCACACTGGCTATGGGACTTGGTCGGCTTACCTAAACCTCTCTGTGCCTCGGTTTCCCCATCTATAAACAGACCTGTGGTCCACAACCGGGGGTGACTTTACCTCCCAGGGTGTGGAGTCATGTCTGTCAGTCACACTTGGGAGGTGCAGCTGGCACCCAGTGAGAGGAATCAGGGAGGCCCCTCACACCTGACAAGAGTACGGGACAGCCCTCCACAGCAAAGACGGCTCTGGCCCACCCGTCCACTAGTGCTGGGGCCGAGAAAGCCTGGCCGAGTGATTGTGAGAAGTCAGTGAGAGTATCCGTGGAAAGAACTCCGCCCTCCGCCTGGCACTTTGCAAACACGAACTCAGTAACTGTCAGCTGCCATCACTGTTAAAGACAGGGGACTGTACAGGTGATCAATAAATATCCCGTTTCCCTCCCTTCCTTTGCCCGATGCCAGTTCCTGATTAGCTCGGAGAGGGCGGGGACAACAGGAGAGTCTGAAAGCACAGACTCTCCAGAATCCCAGGGGCGGCATATGGCAGCCAACATGAACCACTTTTCAGCCAGACCAGCGGCTGATGACGCCAAGGTAATCTGGGGGCAATCGGGGGGCTCCCCTGGGGGTGCGGCCACTCTGCAAACACCGCTCCTTGCTCGGCTCCCTTCCAGACCAAAGACATCTGTTTGCTGCGGACAGAGGCTCACAGGGCGGTGTGCATCAGCCGAGGCTCCTGCCCCTGGAAGGACCCACATGGGCTATTCGGAGCTACACAGACAAGTGGGGCCGTGAGGAAAGAAGGTTCTAGAACAAAGGCTGGATGAGGTAGGGAAATCCCTAGGGAAGAAGCCGGGCCCATGTGGTGCCCATCTCCGGGTTCCCACGGCCACCTGTGCTTTCCACACCATCCAAATGGAACAGGCACCTCTCCCAAGAGCCACCCCGGAAGATGCGGAGTGAGGCCATACTTACCTCTTTTAAGGCAGTCATGATTTTGGATCTCAAGATGACGAGGGCACAGAGGAGGGCTATAAGCCAGAATGTGAGCATGATCCCTGAGGACTGGATTCCCTTCCTTCTCTCGAGCTGAATTAAAAAGGTAGCAAGCAGCTGGAAGAGAGAAGCACACAACAGAAGCCGTCAGGAGAAGGTCAGGGGCTCCAAAGCTGCTGAGGTCCCCAAGGCCCCCCCAGGGGCCAGCAGACACTAGGCCTCAAGTGGGGCGGCCCTTAGCCCAGGGGTACAAGAACAGCCTGGGGGAGGACTCGGCTCTCCTCTGACCCTGCTGGGTGACCCTGAGCAAGTTGCCAAACCTCTTTGAGCAAAAGGGACAGACACCATGTGAGTGGTTCCTGGGAAAGGGGTGAGGCAGAGGCTGGCTGCAGAGGGGCAGCACGAGAGCGCATTTAGGGTGATGGACTGCTGTCTATATTGTGGAAGTGGCAGTCATCAGACAGTCTAAATTTATCAATAAAAATATAATGTACAGCATAGAACCTTCACCTATATACACTGAGGAGAGTAGACTGAAAAATGAGAAAGGGGTCCATAAAGGTTTAGAACCCAGTGTTGAGAGTGGAAAAAAAAAAAATCACTTAAGGTCCCACAGGGGCAGGCCTCTGCCATCCCAGCTCTCTTCCTCTTCCTCAACCTCTCCACCCCAGCCACACAGGCCAACTCTCCATTTCTCCCTCCGAACCCAGGACTTTGGCATGTGCTAGTCTCGCCAATGGTGTTCCTCTGCCTGTGGCCCCTTCAACTTTTTAACACCCTGCTCATCCTTCAGGCCTCAGCTCCGTCATCCCTTCCTCCTCACCCTCCAGACCAAACCAGTTCACCTAACTTCACTCGCACAGCAATCTGCACACAGCTAAGTATTTTGTGCCTTTTGAGGAATTATTTGCTGAATGTCCATTTCCTCAGCTGGACTGTACACTCCATGACAGCAGGATCTGCCTCAGTTTTAACTTCAACTCCTGGCTCAATTTAGGAATAAAAAACATTTGCTGGCTGCCTCGCATCCCATTCTCCGGGTGCCTGCATACCCCAATCCCAGGCATGACAGGAGAATGTTCCTGCAGCAGGAAGAGCAGGGCTGGTCCTTCACTCTCGGAGCCCTGAGGAGAGAGACTGAGCTTTCATAGGCCAGTTCACCTCCTGGCCAGCCCAGCTCAGAGCCCTGGGGGGTACAAAGCCCGGTGACCCTCACCCCATAATACCTGTGTGCCCAGTATCACAGACAAAGATCTGGGTGAAGAACCGAAAGACCAGGAGCAGGGAGAGTTAAGGGAATCTGAGTTATCCCAGCCCAAACTAATCCAACTTGACTCTCCTCTGCCAAAATGTAGATAGAGGTCAAGACCTCCAGGCCAGCAAAACCACGGCCTTCATTTCCCCATTCCCTCAATATGTTTGCCGAGTGCTTACTGCATGTCAAGCACAGTGCCAGGCTCTGGGGGCACAAAGGACAGCGAAGCCCTGCACAAGCACCACCAACAAAGAGCCCACCAACACACCGGAGCCAGACAGCCTGTCTGTGAAGCCGTCTCTGCTGCTTATTGGCTGTGACCTTGGGCCAGTGTGTTTTCTCTCTCTCTCTCTCTCTCTCTCTCTCTCTCTCTCTCTCTCTCTCCTATCTGTGCCTCAACTTGCTTATCTACAAAATGGGACTAATGAGCCAACATACTGAAATGAATCATCATGCAAAGGGGTTAGGGCAGTGCCTGGGGCAGAGCACACACTGCTAACCAGCTCCTTAAAGAATCCTGGCCCTTCACAACTTGGCTCCTACTTACCTCTCTTTCTTTTTTTTTCTTTCTTTTTTTTAATTAATATACGTTTCTTTTTTTAATATATTTTATTGATTTTTTTTTACAGAGGGGAACGGAGATAGATAGTTAGAAACATCGATCAGCTGCCTCCTGCATATCCTCTACGGGGGATGTGCCCACAACCAAGATACATGCCCTTGACTGGAATCGAACCTGGGACCTTTCGGTCCACAGGCTGACACTCTATCCACTGAGCCAAACTGGCCCAACTTGCCCTTTTTGCCCCCCCTTCTGTCGCATTCACTGTCTACCACAGGGGTGGGGAAGCTTTTTTCTGCCAAGAGCCATTTGGAATGTGTAACATCATTTGCTCAATATAATTCACTGAATGTAAATTAACGTGGCTATGAATAAAGCTCCTAAGTTTGTTGAAGTTTGAGTCCCGCTGGCAGTTGCCTTGGTAGGGCCAGACCAAATGACTTCAGGGTTCTCCCTTGGCCCTGGACCAGACATTCCCCGCCCTCGGTCTTCCCTCCAGAACCCCACGCGGCCTTCTTGCTTCAAGAAAGGCTCATCGTCCTCCTCCTTATGCTCCCTTTTGACCCCCAACCCTCCCTTGGACATACTGTTCTCTCTGCTCAAAACATCCCGCCCCGAACTCGCTCCCTCCTCACCCTACAACACTCAAGGGCCGTGCTTGCCAAGGACTTTCCAGCTCTCAGAGGACCCGAGGGACATGGTACCTTGTAGGAATGGTCTTCATTCAGAGCTTGTCGCTGTGGAATGCAAGGACTAAAAGCATGGCCTCTGAGTGACCACCCCTTGCTTGACCCAGCATTGGCTGTGTGGCCTTTAGCAGGGCCCATCTCACGGGGCTGTTCTGAGAATCAGATACAATAAAGCAGTGATACAGCGGTTCCCGTTTGCGTCTCCCATTGAATGAGGGACCCACATGGGGCAGGGTGGTCTCTCGTTCAACATGGCATCCACTCCTTGTGCCAGAGCCTAAAAGCTTAGGTCCCAGGCACGTGCTGTAAGTGATGAGCTGGCCAGTGCATGTAGAGAGTACAGAAGTACAGCACAGGACAGCATGCGCCCTCTCTGCGCCTGCACTCAGCGTCAGGCGCAGAGAGGGCAAATGGCACATGTGCATGCGTGTGTGCGTGTGTGTGTATGTGTGTGTGTGTGTGTGTGTGTGTGTGTGTGTGCGTGCGTTATATAACAAACCAGGCCACGCTTGCCCCACAGAAAGGCTGCAGTCACCTCTCAGCTCCAGCCAACTGCTGCCCCAGAAGACTATGAGTCTAGTGCTGCCAGGCCTTTGAGTTTTTTGAGAGAAGCCAGATTTCTGGATTTTCACTGAGATCTTCTCATCACTGCTTTTGATCTCCATACTGCCTGGCCGACAGCCAGCTCTGACTTACCATGGTGATGCCCAAGAGGGTTGGGCTGACCAGAAACACCGGGGCTGGGAAGTTGCCCCAATTTCTTTCCCAGAAAGAGTAGAAGAGGTCTGCCCAGCAGACAATCCACAGCAAAAACCCCAAGGCCTGGAAGAGAAGAAAACAGTCTTACTACGGACAGCACCGGAACTTCCCGGCTCAGCCTCCGGGGGACCAGCCAACTCCTACACCATCAGCTATGGTCCCTGAACACAGCACACATCCTCTGGAACACACACAAGTGCCAAGTAGGGTGAGCCATCGTCTGGGCCCTCCCATCTGCTTTGTGACCAGGATACTATCCCCTCCGGCGCCTCTGGCATGACTTCATCTGTCTGGTGACTAGTCACCCCAGCACTTGAAAATTCAAGATCTCAGTTTAAAAGTTACCAATATTAGCAATGCCAGCAGCTTGCATAAGGCCTCTCTCACAATAACCACTCATCCAATCAAAATTTATCAGGGGCTTGCAATGGGCCTCATACTTTTCAAGGTGTCAAGGATCCAAAAATGAACAAAAGAGACACAAGTGCCTATCTTCATGGAGCTGAGATTCTAATAGAATGGAAACAAGTAAGAAACAAACTGAAAAATACATATTTTTTAAAATATATTTTATTGATTTTATGCAGAGAGGAAGGGAGAGGGATAGAGAGCTAGGAACATCAATGAGAAATAAAACATGTATCAGCTGTCTCCTGCACGCCCCTACTGGGGATGTGCCCGCAACCAAGGTACCTGCCCTTGACCGGAATCGAACCTGGGACCCTTCAGTCCGCAGGCCAACACTCTGGCCACTGAGCCAAACTGTTACGGCTGAAAAATACATATTATAAAGCCAGAAGGCAGTAAGCGATATGAGGAAAAACAAAACAGGTGAGGGAAGACCTCTCGGATCAGGTGACATCTGAGTGAAGAGCCAACATGACTAGGGGGTTATGGCTTCTGTGGAAGGAGCAATGGGCATTGTGGGAGACGGCTGCTGAGGAGCTGTGAGCACTTCTGGATCTTATTCGCTGCCGGGAGGCCTTGCCAGAAGGTTTTTGAACAAGGCAAGGACAAAATCGGACTCATGTTTTAAAGGCAAAGAGTGGAGGTACGAGCTGCTCACAGAGGAAGAGGAAGACATTAGATCTGGCTCAGGTCAGGAGAACAGGCTGCATCTTGAGACGGGTTTGAAGGGCAGTATGAAGGAGGCAGGTTTAAACGGCGACATAAGCAAAGGGACAGGCAGCGTCAGTAAAATCATTCAAGTTTTCCTGTTTACCAAGGGTTTGTGGAAATGAGCCTTGGGTAATGCAGTTTTAAAATATTTCTGAGAAGGGTAATTATAAAATTTAAATGAGCCTTTTATTGCATCCCTGATGATACTCGGGCAAAGCCACACTAAGTTGCAGGCGCCAGCTTTCTGACTCCCGGATAATTTGCCCTACATACTGGCCCTTCCACTTACGAGGTTCAAATCGGTGCCTCAGAAATTGTCATGTTTCATTTTTTTAGCACAGACTGGGAACTCTTGAAAACAAGTGCTCAGATGCCAGAGGTTTCCTCTAGTGTCAGTAAGTGTTTAGCAGAAACTAACTCCATGATGAATGGAATTCATTCCACATATACTTTGTTCAAGTATACTTAATAAATAGCATATTTTACAAATGTGTCTTTCAAATGTCAGTATTTGAAGTTTTTCTTTGTTTTGATGTATTCCTTCGCTGCATCAATCATGGTGTCAGAATTTACCTTTTGAACAGTTGATTTCAGAAACTGTAAAATGAATAATCTTGCATAGAAAATTCAGAGCCCTAGCCTGGGTGGCTCAGTTGGTTGAGCACCATCCCATGCACTGAAAGGTCGCCAGTTCGATCCCCGATCAGGATGTGTGCAGGAGGCAGCAGATGGATGTTTCTAGAGGCCCGGTGCACGAATGGGGTCCCTCAGCCTAGCCTTCAGGGATCAGGCTGAAACCAGCTCTCCAACATCCCGAGGGGTCCCAGATTGCACAAGGGCGCAGGCCAGACCAAGGGACCCCACCGGTACATGACTCTGTGCACCAGACCTCTAGTTGTAAATAATGCTGCAATGAACATATTGTAAAGAGTGTCTGGAAGGCACATGAGCATTTCTTTAATTATTGTCAGCTGAATCCAGTGGCGTTGGCAGAGCCATGTCCTGGAGACACACCTTGCCAGAGGCCAGAGTGTTGTCAGCTTGACCTTCAGCCCAGGTGCCAGGGGGTGGGTTTCGTTATCTAAATCTAGCCAAGCACCTGGAATGACTACTACTCAAGAATGCACATAATCTCCTTTGTCTTGACCTTTAGTAAAACTTCCTGGTTTTTGCTGTAAAAACATTTGGTTCTGGGTCCCTGTCTCTCCATTGGAGAACAGTGGTCCCACCCGGCCCCAGCTTTTTCCTTCCATCTCTGTATCGGTCTCTTTCTTTCATTTTCTTAATCCCCAGCAGCCCCTACTTTGGAACTGGACCACTCTCTAGCTGCACTGGTCATGGAGAAGAGAGAAATATTTACATATATGAATGTAAATGTCTTCTTGGTTTAATGTTTGGGGTTTCTTTGGATAAATATCCTGAAGTATAACTGCTGGGTCCTTCTTTGTCTCTTGTTATAGCCTGTGTGTGTGTGTGAGTGTGTGTGTGTGTGTTTTGGTTTTGTGTGTTTTTTCAGATTTTTTCAGTTCCTTTAATAAGGTGCTCTGTGGAAAGGGCAGAATGGCAGGCAGGGGGTAGAAAAGGTGTGCTTCTTGAAGTCCACTGGGTATCCAATCAGTCCTCATCTGGTAGCCGGATCTTGCTGGGGTCAAAACAGTTAGATTCCATGATGGGAAGACCAGTGGCCTCTTTACAAGCTTTTCAGCTTCCCGGTGGGCCCACTCGTGCATCCTGTAGTCAGGCAGATAAGCCACAAAGGTGGTGCCGAAGACCAAGACGATGGAGAAGCCAAAGACGACAACGACCCACATGTTCCAGACATCCAAAACAGGGTCCCTGTCGTAGCCAGGAGAGTCAGGGTTCTTCTCAGAAAGGTTTTCATCCTCGGGTTCTGGGTCCTCCTGCCAGTGCACTCTCGGTTCCGGCTCCCGCTTCCCCACTGCGATGGACAGAGCGATCACAGCCCTAGCAGAGCTGGATTCCCAGCAAACCTGGAAGCCAGGCACTCTCGGGTCGCCGCTGCTGCCAAAAGGCACCGAGCGCACAAACCTAGCAGTCCGGACGCCATGGCAGACGGTGCTGCCTAAAGCCTTTGTTTTAAAAGTCTATTTTGACCTGGTGGAGGGGGGAAGAAATGAGGAACCTTTGTAATAATATGAACAATAAAGATTGATTTTTTAAAAATAAATAAATAAATAAATAAATAAAAGTCTATTTTGTCTGGTATAAGTATTGCTACTCCAGCTTTTTTTTTGTTCCATTTTCATGAAGTTTCTTTTTCTATCCCTTTGCTTTCAGTTTGTGAGTGTCTTTAGATCTGAAGTGAGTCTACTGTAGATAGCATATGCAATGTTTTGTTTTGTTATGCACTTAGCCACTGTATGTCTTTTGATTGAAACACTGAATCCATTTGCATTTAAAGTAATTATTGATAGAAATATGTTGCCAATTTATTATTCACATTATCTTTCTTTTATCTTCTTCTTAAAGAAGATCTTTTAACTGGTTTAGTGGTGATGAACTCCTTTTGCTTTTTTTTTTTTTTTTATCTCAGAAGCTCTTTATCTGTCCTTTGATTCTAAATGATAGCTTTGCTGGGTCGAGTATCTTGGGTTTTGGGTCCTTACTTTTCATCACTTTGCATATTTTGTGACAATCCCTTCTGGCCTGCCAAGTTTCTCTTGAGAAATCAGCTGACACTCTTATGGGAGCTCCCTTGTAGGTAACTAACTGCTTTTTTCTTGCTGCTTTTAAGATTCTCTCTTTGTCTTTAATCTTTGCCATTTTTTTTTAAATATATTTTATTGATATTTTACAGAGAGTAAGGGAGAGAGAGAGAGAGAGCTAGAAACGTCGATGAGAGAGAAACATCGACCAGCTGCCTCTTGCACACCCCCTACTGGGGATGTGCCCGCAGCCATCGTACATACCCCTGACCGGAATCGAACCCGGGACCTTTCAGTCCGCAGACCGACGCTCTACCACTGAGCCAAACCGGCTTCGGCTAATCTTTGCCATTTTTTTATGATGTGTCTTGATATGGGCCTTTTTGTGGAACTTTCTGCACTTCCTAGACTTGTGTGTATTTTGCCTTCACCAGGTGAAGAAAGAATTTTCATTATTTCTTCAAATAGGTTCTCAATCCCTTGCTCTCTCTTCTCAATACCCGATATTGTCCCTGAAAAGCCTTAAACTGTCCTCATTTTTCACAATAACTTTTTTGTTGTTATGATTGGGTGTCTTCTGCCACCTTGTCTTCTAAATGACTGATTTGATCTTCTCTTTCATCAAATCTGTTGTTGACTCCTTCTAGTGTATTCTTCATTTCTGACGGGTTCTTTTTTATGGTTTCTATGTCCTTTTTAATGCTGTTGAGGCTCTCATTAAGTTCCTTGAGCAACCACATAACTATTGTTTTAAACTCTGTATCCGATTGCTTGCCTTCAAGTTTCATTTACTTCTTCTTTTCTGAAGATTTCTCCTGTTCTTTCTGTTGGGACATGTTTCTTTGTCTCACCATACTGCCTGCCTATCTGTGTTTGTTTCTATGCGTTAGGTAGATCTTCTAGGTGTTCTGTGGAGCCCACTGGCGCAGCCTCAGGGAGATTAAGAAATGTGCTCAAGGTCCTACAGCTAGTAAGGGACAGAGATGATAAGTGAACCCATGTCTGAATGCAGGGCCCAGCCTTACCTACTACATTCATTGTTCTGTCTTCGAGAAAAAGGAACTCAGGGCCAATGAAGTAGAAGAAACATATTAGTTTTCACCAATTACTACTCCCCACCCAGGAACACCCCTCTCCCCCAAAGATGACTTACAGTTTTGGTTTTGTTGAGATGTGTCATCTGAATGTAGCCCCGGTCATGGTGGGAAAGATAGAGGAAGTAGAAGGGGAAGATGGCCCAGAGGTAAAAACAAGGCACCCACACAAGGACGGTGTTCTGAAAGCACTTGGTGAAGTCGGGGTTGCTGGTGTGCCACGTGATGTTCCAATCCTGTAGAAACAAACACAAGCACAGGTCCATGGGATGTGCCAAAGAGTGATGGGGGCTGGTGTGTAATTCAAAACTAGTTGTCACCCTGGCTCAGGATTGCTCGGTTGGCTGGGTGTTGTCCTGTGCACTGAAAGGTTGCTGGTTCGATTACCAGTCAGGACACACGCCCAGGTTGCAGTCTCAATGCCCAGTAGAGGGGTGTGCAGGAGGCAGCTGATCAACATTTTATTTCTCTCTCATCAATGTTTCTCTTTCTTTCTCCCTCTCTCTCTCTTTCCCTCCCCCTTCCCTTCCTCTCTCTCTAAAAATCAATAAAAGTACTTTAAAAAAAAAAAAAAAAAAAAAAAACAGCTGTAATGGGGTTCAAGAAAAACAAACAAGACCCCTGCTCCTGAAGCCCTCTCAGGCAGAATATTCAAACTGGAGAGTTAGGTAGCCAGAAAGACTATGAAACAAGGGATCAGGAATAAAGGTATGCCTCATTGCACATAACAAACAGGTTCCTAGGAACTTTGGCAAATTCAATTGGTGTACAAAGATGGAGACATGCATTTAAAGGAATGTTCCAGGGGTATTTCCCTGTAAACAGAGGAGTCCATTAGTCACATGAATCATTCCTACATTACTATTGTGAATTGAGGACTTTCTAATCTTCCTCATCTTCACCGTTATCATTTTCTTCACCATCATTACTATCATTATCATCATTACTATCACAAACACTTTCTTTTTTTTTTAAATATATTTTATTGATTTTGTACAGAGAGGAAGGGAGAGAGCTAGAGAGTTAGAAACATCGATGAGAGTCATCGATCAGCTGCCTCTTGCACACCCCCCACTGGGGATGTGCCCGCAACCAAAGTACATGCCCTTGACCGGAATCGAACCCGGGGCCCTTAAGTCCCCAAGCCGATGTTCTATCCATTGAGCCACACAGGTCCCGGCTATCACAATCACTTTCATCAGCACTATCATCATCATCATTGAAATCACCTAAATTGTGCGAGGCCCTATTTTAAGTTACATCATATGTACTATCCCCTTTAATTCTGTAAGTACTTTATCTCTCCTTTTTCAGATAGGAAAACTGAGACTCAGAGAGGTTCAACAACTTCTCTAATATCACACAGCTGGTAAGATCTGTATCGGAATTTAAACTCAGGCAATTTGGTTCTGGGTCCCTGCAATGAATGACTAAGCTATCCATCCTTGATGACAAGTTAGTTGTAAATACTTTCATTTTTTTTCAAGAAACCACCTATATGTTATTAAAGAGACATACCAGATAGATATATACATATATAGATCAAGTATATCTGCCCAAGAATAAACATCAATCCACTGTCTCTTCAGTAATGAACAATTTAATTCAAATCCTTATCTGACCACTGACTAGTTACACAACCCCGGGAAAAGTTATTACCTTATTTGGGAGTCTCAATTTTCTATCTCTACTTTAATTACAGCAGATAAACTTAAGAGGTCTGAAACAGGTGGCCTTCAGGCCAATTTGAGCCACAGATGGTTTATTCTTATTGTTGTTTTAAGCATATTTTTTATAATTTAGGTTAACTGCCAATGTTTCAAATCAGAAAACTTCAAACAAAAATTGAGATTTCTGGCTACTCATAAAAAAAAAAAAAAAAAAAAAAAAAAAAGATCAGAAAATATGGCAGCCCTGAGCCCATGTTTCTGCTTCAGAACCACCAGCAAGAGCTGGGGAGTTGCCAGTCTTGGGATAGGGTCCATGTGTTCCAGGTGGCCACAGTCTCCTTGCAGCCCACATTCCTCCTCCGTCTCTCTGTCTACCACTGCACGATGTTCTCTCCAGATATCTGATTCCAGCCTCCCACAGTAAGATCACCAAGGAACTCCAAGGAACCTGAAACCTCACAGCTCTGTCCAAATTTTAAAGGCACATCAACAAATGTGAAGAGAAAGTGATAAAATATATATGTTCCAAGTGTTTCAATAAAGAGACCTAGTTATGTCCAACAAGGTGAGTATATGTAACACAACTGAAGCATACACTTTAAAATTGTAAAGAAAATTTAAAAATAAAGAATCTGACTTAAAAAAGAGAAAGATCTAGGTATTTTAAACAAGTACCTAAACTGATTCTTCAGATATATAATTGATAAATGATACTATGACATAAACAGTTTGTTTTTTTCCAAAACCAAAAACAAGCAATCAATGAAATGTAAACTTTAAGTGATTAGCACACACAAAGGTATTTAGCTAGGCAACTTCTAAACACAAAGAAACCCTTAAGACAACGGTCATGCCTTTATGATCTTGGGCATTTGAAATTTGATCATATGAGTGACTTAAATCAAAGACTGGTTTTATTTTAACTGGTTTCACACCACTTGTAATTCTTAAGATGATGGTGAAAAAAAAAGGATTCAGTGTTTGTGGTTATTTTATACAGAACAGTTTCTGAGCAATTGCCAGGAAAAGCTCATTCCACAGGAATTTGCCCTTTTAATAAGGAAATACTGCTGGGACCTACTATATACAGTTATGTATACAAGCTTGGTTCATGTGTGAGACATTTCAGTAGCCTAATTCTTGCCTTAATTATTCCTTGTCTGAACAATTATCTTCCTAGCCATTACCTATTTCCAGCCCATCCTGGCCCCACTAGGGCCTCCCCACTGCAGCTCAAGTTATATTACCCATTTATATATCCATATATGTAATTGTAGATATATCTACCCACTCATTTGTAAACCCACCCATCTATCCATCCATCCATCCATCCATCCATTCATCTACCCAACCATCCATGTGCCAACTTATCCATCCGTCTACCTGTCTATCCATCCACCCATCTACCTACCATTCCACCTCTTAGCCACGCACCACCACATCCATTCATCCAGTTATTCATCACACAAACACCCACACATCCATCCCTCTCTCTCTCTCTTTGTACTTATCTTTAAAAAAAAAAAAAATACATTTTACTGATTTTTAGACAGAGAGGAAGGAAGAAGGACCTCAGGTCCACGCTGTATTTATCTGTGACTACTATCCTGCTACCCAGCAGGCCCCGGGGATTATTAAGTAAACAAGTGTCCAAGCCATGCCCCACCTCCAGGCATTATTTCCTACTTTACTTTTTAAAACAATGATCCATCCAAGCACAACCTAGCACTGATCCCTGGCTTTCTGGTCAAGTGAATGGGGATTAAAATTTAGGCCCTGACCTTAGTGAACCTGGGCAGGTCACTTAACTATAAGTAGCAGATACTAATAATTAGTAACAGTCACCAATACTCCCCAAAGCACTGCCCAGTCAGCAAGCTTAAAGGACAAAGAAGAGCTGAAGTTAAGAAGTGAGCAAGAGGAAATCGGGGGATCTAAGGAAGGAGGGAATCAGAGAAATGCTTAGCAAAGGAAGGCGGTTACTCTTCAGAGGGCAGCTTCCTGTTCGAAGCCGGATGCCCACCCCTGACCCAGAGGGCGGAGATGGAGCCAGAAAGGAAGGGGGAGCATGAAAAGGGGAAACAGATTGTGAACGTGAACTTTCACTGCTGCAGAAGGCAGCCAGCGCAGGCTGTCCCATCCCCAGCCCCCACAAGGCCTGCCGCTGCTCCTACCCAGCCAACGGCGGCCCTGACCACAACTGTCACAGCAGCAGAGATAAGAGTGCTGGGATCTTCTGCGCGTCCCTCGCTGGCTCGGACCTGGATGTCTCCACCGTCCAAACTCCTGGAGACAAGCAGTGTGGCCCCCTCTGTTCCGTGTTTCTGGGAACAGGATGGGGGGGGGGGGGGGGAAGGGAAGCAAAGGCTGAAGACCTTACTATAAGGCTTAAGGAAGGGTCTGCTATCCACTTTCTACCCCAAACCCCAGGCTGATGGAACTTCTGCTCTGATTCTGTCCACCCCCAGCCGCCAGGAAATGAAATTCAGCCCAGGAAATGTGAGTCCAGGAAACAGTCCCCAGTGTTGGCACAGGCACTGCACTCCGGGGGGCCTGGCTCAGGGCTTATCAATAGAGAAAGACTCCCCTGACAGAGCCTTCTCTTCACAGGACACCACAGTTAGTCACCAACTATGCCGGCCTGCCCCTCCCACCTCCCCCCTCCGCCCTGACATTCAGGATCTTGGGAACAAGTCCACATCAGCTTGGCCCACGAGCTTTGGAAGTTCAGAAAATTTCTATCGCGTGTCCTCTCACACCCTTCTCTCTGGGCGGAATAATGACAACCAGCATGTTCTGAGCACTGCTCCAAGTCTCCCACGCCTAGGACGCTCCTCAGTTCTCACAAGAAGAGACACTGCTGTTAGCCCCACAGATGAGGAAACTGAGGCACCAGGAAATAAGACATCTTTCCCCAAGGCCATGCTGCAGTGGGTCTATGTCACCCCCACCCCAACCCCATGCACATTTCTCCTTGTCTGGCAACAGCCGCTGGCTCTCATTCATAAACAACCCTCTATTCTCAGCCACACACTCAGGCCCTCATTAGCATCAGCCAATCAGCAGAGTCCTTTACTCACTTGCTGGTGATTAGTTCAAAAACAGGCATTTGAGCCCCAGCAGGTTTGGCTCAGTGGATGGAGCATTGGCCTGTGGACTGAAGGGTCTCGGGTTCAATTCGGTCAACGGCATGTACGTCAGTTGCAGGCTTGATTTCCTGGCCTCTGCCAACCAATCGATGTGCCTCTATCATATGGATGTTTCTATTTTTGCCCCACCCCCAGCCCTCCCTTCCACTCTTTCTAAAAGCAATGGAAAATATCCTCAGGTGAGTGCTGAGGGGAAAGGAAGGGAGCCCCCCAGTCCCATGGCCAGTGTGAGAATGAGGCTGACATTGTAAAAGATGGAGATAAAAAAAAACTGGTGCTTAGTGCAATGGTGGGCAGATGGATCAAGCTTCACCTGCAACCCACCCTCCCACTGGAATTCCCAATAAATTCACTTTATTGGTTCACACAAGTTGAAAATGAATTTGCTCTTACAATACAAAGTATCCTAGTAATACA